ATGAATTTCCTGGAAGTCTTATTTTTGACCTACTGCACGCATGGTCCCTTGCCCAAAACAGTTTCAAAGAATCAGGGCTTGCGTTCGGTCTAGTTCGGTAGTTTAAAAACAAGCTTGTTCCCCTCATCTAGACAAAAGATTCTACCGAATAATGCCTTTCTAAATTGTATAGAACCGAACGCAGGCGATGACGAATCCAGCTGTGTTTGGAAGCTTCTGTGTCCGATTTTAGTTCCATAAGATTCATGCCCAAAACACCGCTGCCTGCGTTTATGCGAAAAAGATGGGCGCCACCTCGTGGTTGTCCATAGGAATTGCATCCACCCAGATGAACAATTAGAACACTGCGATGAGAACCTTTCCAAGGTGTTAATAGGTGTTAACAACTCCAGGGTGGTCTCTGTTCGTGCGGTTGTTCGGTAGTCGAATCAGAGATCAGAATGTAGTGAAATACCAAAATAGTAGCGATTAAAAATCAATTTATACAATTTTACAATGATTAAACATGTTTTTAAAAGTCTCTGAATTGATTGAATAGTAATGTGAGTGTTTGTACATCATCTCTGACGCAAATCGCGCGTCACACAAAGACAATGAGTAACATGGCCGATCGCCAGACTTTAATCATTCATTGGCCTTCTAACAATATTATACATTTAACAAAATGCCGTAATAGAAAGCCTTATTTGTGATACACAGTCATATAAGACTGACATACAGAATCCAAACCAACGCTGTAATACCTCTCGATGTGACAGCAGAAATTTACCATAGATTTTATTTCATGCACATTAAATGAAGATGGATTTTAGGAGGGACACACTCTAGGTCCATTCGTTTATTCCTCCCACATTTCATTGTCAATCCTCCTCAGATCACAGTTTAGAGAATAGTCTCTCTATTTCCATTGAAGACGGTTCTGGTGACATTGTGACAAGCCTGTGTCTCTGGCAGAGAGTTCTCTCAAGAAATCTTAGAAAGCTACAAATATCCCGTAGGATTCTTTGCAGACGGTATTCTCCAGAGATTAATGTAAAGATGGCCCCAGGCCACCGCACTGCGTTTTCCCAACAATTGTGCTTTAGCTTATTGCCAGGAAATAAAGGATGTTCAGCAGAACATGTGCGTTCAGGATTGCAAGCTCCTATGTACAGATCTCCATGTTCTTCCAATGTCTCTCTAATTGGCAGCTGAGTCAGCGCAATGTATCACGCAGCATTTATAAATATACCATTATTAAAGACTGAATGAGACCCATTAGTAAGCGAAAGCTCATTTTAAAACAATTTTTTGATAAGACCCTTCCATATGTTTTATTCCCCCCAGCTCTTCCAGGTGCCTCATTCCCCTTCAACCCCTCCATGTCACTCTTTCCCCCCTATCCCATTTCCTAACCATGTGTCTCATTTCCCCCAGCCCCTCCATGTGTCTCATTTCCTAACCACGTGTCTCATTTCCCCCAGCCCCTCCATGTGTCTCATTACCCTCCATGTGTTTCATTCCCCCCAGCCCCTCCATGTGTCTAATTCCCCTCCATGTTTTTCATTCTCCCCAACCCCATTATGTCTCATTTTCTACCTAGCGCCTCCATGTGTCTTATTTCTCCCCCTCCATGTGTCTCTTTCCCCCCCTGCGTCTCATCACCCCCCACAGCCCCTCAATATGTCTCATTTGCTGCTATTCTGCGGCCTGTACTGGGTGTTGTATGGTAGACTATGCTGAGGGCTGTACTGCGGGCTGTACTGCGGGCTGTACTGCAGGCTATACTGTGGGCTATACTGCGGCTATAGTGAGGGCTATAATGATTATGATAATTGCTGTAACTCTTTAACTAGTCAATGTGTTATTAGCCCTCATTTTGGGATCCATGCACTAATCTGTGAATTGTGCTCAGGTGAACGCTGAAAGAGTAAGGTGGAATGGACAGAGAGAAGGTGCAAGACAACATCACATAAATGCTCGCTAATAGCTTTTTAAAGGGATACACACATATAATCCTAACGCTATATTGTCCGAGTGTATTTTTAGATTTGTTCCCCCAACACCATTTTCCTTAACCTTTATTTCCAGGTATTAAATGTTACTCATAGACGAACATTGGGGACAAAGTGCATGGCTAACACCGCATGAGTCTCCAATCAAATGTTTCTCGTAGGAAAGCATTGAAGTCAGTGTTTTTCCATTTGGTCACATGACTGAGTTTTTCTTGATTATTCCAGAGAAAGCACCGTTAGCGGTTGCCTAGATCTGGATTTAACCCAGTGAACGTTTTACATTGAAGGGTTAAAAGGAGAGGACCATTGACCCAGAGACCACTTCACTGATATACAACATTGAGATACAGCACTGAGATACAGGATTGAGATACGTCATTGAGATACAGCATTGAGATACAGCACTGAGATACAGGATTGAGATACATCATTGAGATACAGCACTGATATACAGGATTGAGATACATCATTGAAATACAGCATCGAGATACAGCACTGAGATACAGGATTGAGATACATCATCGAGATACAGCATTGAGATACAGGATTGAGGTACAGCATTGAGATACAGCACTGAGATACACCATCGAGATACAGCATTAAGATACATTGAGATACACCATCTAGATACAGCATTAAGATACATTGAGATACACCATCGAGATACAACATTGAGGTACAGCATTGAAATACAGCATTGAGACACAACATTGAGATACACCATCGAGATACAGCATTGATATGAAGTGGTCTGGGTGACTTCAGTGGACATTTAATGATGTGCTCTTATTGTGCTGTCTTTCTATGATATTCCAAAAAGCAGAATGATTGGACAGGGGCAAATCATTGCACAGGTGAGTCAGCGCCTTTTCCTGCTGTTTCCTTAAATATACACGGTAGGTAACAGAAATGCTTAATCTCATTGAAGTGGTGTCTAGAGTACCCTAGCGCAATACTTACATTCAGTGTTAAACTATTTTTATTGTTTTAATGCTAAATGAACGTCCCCAGCAGCCCATCCCCTCTGTGCTCTTTGGGCTAATTAGGAAGCATTATCCTGAGCAGCAATGGGTGGCTGTAATTGACTGAGAGTGTCAGCTGACTGCTTTAGCCTATCACAGCACCCATTGCTGGTATGAATTGGTATGGCTAGCATGAAGTGTGTAATCTCTGCCTTAGCCTCACCTCTAGTGGAGCTATGGCAAGCCAGGAACCCTTATTCAGTGTTAAACTGCTCAAAAATGGTTTAACATTGAATGGAGAGATAGTGACAAGGGACTCTAGGCACTATAACCACTTCAAGGAGAAGGAATGGTTTAACACTGAATGGAGGGACAGGGGACTAAATTTAATTGTAATTTAATACATGAATAAAATACATGAAAGTAAAAGCATTCGTACTCAATTCTGGGAGTGAATTGGTTTAATTAGAGCTGTAATACATGTGCTAAATTAGCCATTGTCACAAGTCTGACAAAAAGAGGGTTATTTAGTAAATTTGCAGCCAAAGGAAGTCACACTAATCCCTGTAACTAATTGAACTAGCCGAGTGGGGCTCCTGAGTCACTATTTAGTGAGTACGCTGTCCCCAAAGAAACGGAACATGTTCAAACATTAAGCTAGCGCCCTGAATACCTCTGTGCTGCTCAATATAACACCATGTCACATTTTATGTACCGTATAAATGAAATTTATTTTATGGATTACTGAACATTGTGTATACCCCACCTCCTCTAGATTGTAAGCTCATGTCATCACAATTTCTTTCTGTCAATATGTGTAATAGTTTGTCTCACTTGTTCTCTAAATTACCACTTTATCTTATTATTTTATTATGGTGCAATATAAATGGCAATAATAAGAAAATAAGACTCATTTGGTTACAACACTCAGAATGAGATTTAAGGGAATCTATTCTGTCCTTCCCAGGATTTTTAATATTAATTTATTTATCCCTATATGTAATAAACATGTATTAATAAGGTATGGAAAAATTATACAAAATATAGAAAGCCCTATCTTTTTATCCTGTAACTGGACGTCTCCATCTTAGCTCCCTGTCAGTCATTGTTATAAGCTCCACCCTTTACACCTGGCAGTCAGTATAGAGAGAGCCGCCTCCATCTTAGCTCCCTGTCAATCATTGTTATAAGGTCCGCCCTTTACACCTGGCAGTCAGTATAGAGAGAGCCACCTCCATCCTAGCTCCCTGTCAGTCATTGTTATAAGCTCCGCCCTTTACACCTGGCAGTCAGTATAGAGAGAGCCGCCTCCATCCTAGCTCCCTGTCAATCATTGTTATAAGCTCCGCCCTTTACACCTGGCAGTCAGTATAGAGAGAGCCGCTTCCATCTTAGCTCCCTGTCAATCATTGTTATAAGCCCCACCCATTACACCTGGCAGTCAGCATAGAGCCACCTCCATCTTAGCTCCCTGTCAATCATTGTTATAAGCTCCACCCTTTACACCTGGCAGTCAGTATAGAGAGAGCGGCCTCCATCTTAGCTCCCTGTCAATCATTGTTATAAGCTCCACCCTTTACACCTGGCAGTCAGTATAGAGAGAGCCACCTCCATCTTAGCTCCCTGTCAATCATTGTTATAAGCTCCACCCTTTACACCTGGCAGTCAGTATAGAGAGAGCCGCCTCCATCTTAGCTCCCTGTCAATCATTGTTATAAGCTCCGCCCTTTACACCTGGCAGTCAGTATAGAGAGAGCCACCTCCATCTTAGCTCCCTGTCAATCATTGTTATAAGCCCCGCCCTTTACACCTGGCAGTCAGTATAGAGAGCCACCTCCATCTTAGCTCCCTGTCAATCATTGTTATAAGCTCCGCCCTTTACACCTGGCAGTCGGCATAGAGAGAGCCCATCTTAGATGTCAATCATTGTTATAAGTCCGCCATTACACCTGCAGTCAGTATAGAGAGCAGCTCCCACTCCCTGTCAATCATTGTTATAAGCTCCGCCCTTTACACCTGGCAGTCAGTATAGAGAGAGCACCTCCATCTTAGCTCCCTGTCAATCATTGTTATAAGCTCCGCCCTTTACACCTGGCAGTCAGTATAGAGAGAGCAGCCTCCATCTTAGCTCCCTGTCAATCATTGTTATAAGCTCCGCCCTTTACACCTGGCAGTCAGTATAGAGAGAGCCGCCTCCATCTTAGCTCCCTGTCAATCATTGTTATAAGCTCCGCCCATTACACCTGGCAGTCAGTATAGAGAGAGCCACCTCCATCTTAGCTCCCTGTCAATCATTGTTATAAGCTCCGCCCTTTACACCTGGCAGTCAGTATAGAGAGAGAGCCACCTCCATCTTAGCTCCCTGTCAATCATTGTTATAAGCTCCGCCCTTTACACCTGGCAGTCAGTATAGAGAGAGCTACCTCCATCTTAGCTCCCTGTCAGTCATTGTTATAAGCTCCGCCCTTTACACCTGGCAGTCAGTATAGAGAGAGCCGCCTCCATCTTAGCTCCCTGTCAATCATTGTTATAAGCCCCGCCCTTTGCACCTGGCAGTCAGTATAGAGAGAGCCGCCTCCATCTTAGCTTCCTGTCAATCATTGTTATAAGCCCCGCCCTTTACACCTGGCAGTCAGCATAGAGAGAGCCGCCTCCATCTTAGCTCCCTGTCAATCATTGTTATAAGCTCCGCCCATTACACCTGGCAGTCAGCATAGAGAGAGCCGCCTCCATCTTAGCTCCCTGTCAATCATTGTTATAAGCTCCGCCCATTACACCTGGCAGTCAGTATAGAGAGAGCCACCTCCATCTTAGCTCCCTGTCAATCATTGTTATAAGCTCCGCCCTTTACACCTGGCAGTCAGTATAGAGAGAGCCACCTCCATCTTAGCTCCCTGTCAGTCATTGTTATAAGCCCCGCCCTTTACACCTGGCAATCAGTATAGAGAGAGCCGCCTCCATCTTACCTCCCTGTCAATCATTGTTATAAGCTCCGCCTTTTACACCTGGCAATCAGTATAGAGAGAGCCGCCTCCATCTTAGCTCCCTGTCAATCATTGTTATAAGCTCCGCCCTTTACACCTGGCAGTCAGTATAGAGAGAGCCGCCTCCATCTTAGCTCCCTGTCAATCACTGTTATAAGCTCCGCCCATTACACCTGGCAGTCAGTATAGAGAGAGCCGCCTCCATCTTAGCTCCCTGTCAATCATTGTTATAAGCTCCGCCCTTTACACCTGGCAGTCAGTATAGAGAGAGCCGCCTCCATCTTAGCTCCCTGTCAATCATTGTTATAAGCTCCGCCCTTTACACCTGGCAGTCAGTATAGAGAGAGCCGCTTCCATCTTAGCTCCCTGTCAATCATTGTTATAAGCTCCGCCCTTTACACCTGGCAGTCAGTATAGAGAGAGCCGCCTCCATCTTAGCTCCTGTCGGTCATTGTTATAAGCTCCGCCTTTTACACGTGGCAGTCAGTATAGAGAGAGCCGCCTCCATCTTAGCTCCCTGTCAATCATCGTTATAAGTCTCACCTAATATTCCGGCAATCAGTATAGAGAGAGCCGCCCATCTAGCCCCTGTCAATCATTGTTATAAGTCTTCATTACACCTGGCAGTCAGCAGCAGAGAGAGCCCATCTTAGCTCCCTGTCAATCATTGTTATAAGCTCCGCCCTTTACACCTGGCAGTCAGCATAGAGAGAGCCACCTCCATCTTAGCTCCTGTCAATCATTGTTATAAGCTCCGCCCTTTACACCTGGCAGTCAGCATAGAGAGAGCCGCCTCCATCTTAGCTCCCTGTCAATCATTGTTATAATCTCCGCCCTTTACACCTGGCAGTCAGTATAGAGAGAGCCGCCTCCATCTTAGCTCCCTGTCAATCATTGTTATAAGCTCCGCCCTTTACACCTGGCAGTCAGTATAGAGAAAGCCACCTCCATCTTAGCTCCCTGTCAATCATTGCTATAAGCTCCGCCCTTTACACCTGGCAGTCAGTATAGAGAGAGCCACCTCCATCTTAGCTCCCTGTCAATCATTGTTATAAGCTCCGCCCTTTACACCTGGCAGTCAGCACAGAGAGAGCCGCCTCCATCTTAGCTCCCTGTCAATCATTGTTATAAGCTCCGCCCTTTACACCTGGCAGTCAGTATAGAGAGAGCCACCTCCATCTTAGCTCCCTGTCAATCATTGTTATAAGCTCCACCCATTACACCTGGCAGTCAGCATAGAGAGAGCCACCTCCATCTTAGCTCCCTGTCAATCATTGTTATAAGCTCCGCCCTTTACACCTGGCAGTCAGTATAGAGAGAGCCACCTCCATCTTAGCTCCCTGTCAATCATTGTTATAAGCTCCGCCCTTTACACCTGGCAGTCAGTATAGAGAGAGCCGCCTCCATCTTAGCTCCCTGTCAATCATTGTTATAAGCTCCGCCCTTTACACCTGGCAGTCAGTATAGAGAGAGCCACCTCCATTTTAGCTCCTTGTCAATCATTGTTATAAGCTCCGCCCTTTACACCTGGCAGTCAGCATAGAGAGAGCCACCTCCATCTTAGCTCCCTGTCAATCATTGTTATAAGCTCCACCCTTTACACCTGGCAGTCAGTATAGAGAGAGCCGCCTCCATCTTAGCTCCCTGTCAATCATTGTTATAAGCTCCACCCTTTACACCTGGCAGTCAGTATAGAGAGAGCCACCTCCATCTTAGCTCCCTGTCAATCATTGTTATAAGCTCCGCCCTTTGCACCTGGCAGTCAGTATAGAGAGAGCCGCCTCCATCTTAGCTCCCTGTCAATCATTGTTATAAGCTCCGCCCTTTACACCTGGCAGTCAGTATAGAGAGATCCACCTCCATCTTAGCTCCCTGTCAATCATTGTTATAAGCTCCGCCCTTTACACCTGGCAGTCAGTATATAGAGAGCCACCTCCATCTTAGCTCCCTGTCAATCATTGTTATAAGCTCTGCCCATTACACCTGGCAGTCAGTATAGAGAGAGCTGCCTCCATCTTAGCTC